GAGGTCGTTTTGAAGTGCTAGTTTAAAGTTGGACCGGTTAATCAACTGAAATCGTCGGCCGGTATTTGGTGGGCTTGATATCGGTGATTCATGAGATTAAAAAAATACCTTGAAATAAACCAGCTTGCCTGTTTCGCTATTTCCTATCCAGATCATTGGCCCTAAGGGAAAATGCTCCTGACGATTACAGTTTTTGTTACTAATTTTTGTCATCGCACTGCTACATGAGTTTTTAAGGGATGAGGGTAAATGCCGTGGGGAATTATAAACAATATGTTTACTTAAATTGCATCGATTCACCTGACACGAGTCTTGTTATATGACGTCACTTGAGATACTGAGCGACTTTTGGTATAGAGTAATCCCATAAGTAGAGGACTCTGTTCGAAAAATAGATGCCAACGTCCCCGCGGTGTCTGCTTACATTCGTAGACAGTGAGTGCCACGGTCGTCTACAAAAGTTGGATTCCTCCCTTTCGTTTCTTCTTGGGGGTAAGGGTAGGGCTACACGTTGGCTTATTTGGTTGCAGTTAACGATAAACTTCAAAGTCGTTCCACGGGAAGTTAATTAACGTAGTCAGTAACAGTTGTAGTCGAAGGGGACAAAGTGAACATTCTTGGCAACTTTCCCCTAATTATTTGCATTTAAGCCGACGCAGTCGCAAATTTGTCTGGATCGTCTGGTTCCACTGGACCACCTGCAAGACCGTCTGGGTCAACCGAACCGCCTATCGCTACATCCGCTGGTCCTTCTAGTTCGTCTTCTGGAACGTCTTTCTCTTCTCCGCCTCAGGTGTTCTTGTCGTATAACTGGGATATACAGCTTAAAGTAGCACAGCTGAAGGAAAGACTCGAGCAGAGGGGAATAACTTGCTGGATGGATAGACCGAACGTTGGCCTTGGAGACGAATTGAGAGGAACTATTGCACATGGCATAACAAATTGCAAGGTACAGATAACATTTTCTAAAGTCTCAGGGCCAAACTATCGGGAGAGAAGTGTAAAAGAATAAAAACCAACAGACTCGTAAGTTCAACTACTACGCGGAGCACGAGACATTCCGGAAAATGTGACCTACTGTTAAAAATACATATCTGACCGCCACCCAGTTAACCCAAATGGATAGTGCGCTGGACTGTTGTGCGGGAGGTCGAGGGTTCGGGCCCCGGCCGGACCAACACTCAAGGTCTTAAAATAATTGAAAAGAATTTGCTGCCTTTCTATAACATCAAGAAAAGGTTAGATATTCTAGTCTTCTCGGATAGGGACGAATAAATGGAGGTCCTGTCTCCTGCAGGGTTGGGGTAGGATACGTTAATTTCCCACACACGAGATTACTGTGTGATGGATGCTCTCCCTTGGGGTGGGAGGGTGGGATGTACAGACCCCCATTTAAACCAGCTTCAAGCTGAATTGGGCTGGCCTGTCTAAATATCGTAAATACAATACAGTACAATACAATACATCTGTTAACAAAACATCTCTTAGATTTAAAAAGGCTTGTTTCGACCTTACAGTCACGTCATCTTCAGTTGGAAAATAATGCTCTAGTGACAATTTGAATCTAGCTTTACAATTACGTTATCGAATTCCGTTATCGAAATACGTTTTATGCCATTTAGATTACGCTATGTAGATTCGTGAACTGTTTGTATCTATAATAAATTTTGGATATAACGCGCGCTTTCATTGGTTGAAAGAGCATGTTTTATCAGAGTACAATCTTCAGTTCAAGAAGTTGGGAGAAAGACTCGACTACGTGTCGTGTTTCCCCCTACACTTTTGTCGTGCTCTAGCCACTTCATAGGCGCTTTACAATAGATCAGAGCTCGGCCCAGGCTTCCTATTTCTTGAATAAAATGACGAAAGTATAAGAAGGCAATGGTGGTATTTTGGGTTAACCCAGGAAAAACCAAAACAATACTTACACAAAGGAATAAATAAAATAGTGATAGTACATATATGAAGGTTAAAAAGGAATATGAGCGAAAAAAAAAATAAACAAAACAAAACAAGACTAAAGTACGAAAAGAAAAAAAAATAACTGAACAGAAAAAAAGCGACTAAGGTTACTCATTGTTTCACGGGCTTATCTAACATTGGTTGTCAGTATAGGTCTTTAACACATCCATATTTGTTTCGATCATCAGGTGTTTATAAGTTGCCTAACAAAGAAGTATTGCTACTCGGACATGTGCCAACGTGAAGCCAAACTGGCCAGCGAGCGCAAGAAGCACATTGTACCATTGCTGTTTGAAGATTTGGGTTCGTGGCCGCCACAAGGTAGCCTTGCTTTGGTGTTTACCGACACCCTTTACCTTAAGCTGCCGGATGGCGTGCTTACCGACATAAAGTTCGAAGAACTTTTAAAAAAAATTGAGGAGGTTGTTTACTCCTAGAGCGAATAATGCTTTTCTTTACAATAAGGAGAGCGGAGGAAACCCAGATATGAGCTATAACTCATCCCGTATTTTGGATTAATTTCCTTTTTTTTATCTTCAATATTTCCCTAATTGTTGCTACATTTGTTGCCTTTTTTAATCAAAGATGTAAACTTAAGTTTACGCCAACCTGCTAAGATTGCAAATGATGTTTGCGAAAAAGCGATGAGTGACTGCGTCACGTTCTGTGTATTTGCACTAAGGAATTCTTCCTACATGTTAGTTTCCAAGAATATTCCTATTGGAGTCTTTCGGCTTCTTAAGTGTCCCCAAAAAATTTACTCGTGAAACAACACTCAAGCAAGAAGAACACAAATTCCGGCCCTGAGCACACTAGTACGTTTTCAATCTTCGTTTTCATGTAGGAGAAAACGAAGCAAATGTTTCTGCCCACACGAGCGTTATCATAGCGTTTTCACTTGTCTAAACCAAAACGTCCCAAAACGAGAGGGACCTGTAATTCCGCATGCGTAAGAGCAACCACATCCGTTATTTTTTTGACACCGTTGTCAAAAGTCTCCGTTGTCACCTGTCCCATATCAAACTTTAGGCTAGATTCGGTCAGACAATAGGGCTCAAAAGCACATCTTTTATGGTCATTTTCTTATTTTGAGGGGATTAATTAAGTTCTTTTGTTATGGGCAAAAGAGCTTGAATTGTCGACTCTACGCCGAATGCCTGAGCGCGAAATTTGAAATAATCGGAAATGGCTTAAATGAAGAACCTAATTTGCTTCCGTGGAGGAGTAAAGGAGTTTTCCTTTTTTAGCGACAACTCCTTGCTTACCGGGTGACGGAGTAAAAGTTTGTGTAGGCACAGAGGGGAAGGAGTTTAACTCTACGACATGATAGCGATTCAAAACTCTGGCACCTTCGCGCTATAATCGCTGAAATAAAGCTGGGATTACACGATTTATATATTTGCCTTTTGTTGTGTCTAATCCTTAACGCGGATTTCTGAATTTGTACCACCAGAATAGATATGACAAGAGAAATCATATTCTAGATCTTACCTTCGATTTACGCCCGGTTATCGTAAATCTTTTCTTTTCGTTTATTTATTGGTATTAAAACTATCCCAATCTTACCAATTTTTAAATGAGGAGCATGTTAGTGGCGAAGGGAAATTAGTTCGTGGAAGACTCAATGTCTTGCCTCTTACTTCATGTATGCTTTACATAGTGACGTCGCCGTTGGACTAGCCGATTCGTTGCTGCTGGATTACTGGTAAGCATCTCGAAGAAAACCGACTCTACCTCCGAAAATCCTAACTCGAAAATCCTAACTCGAAAATCCTAACTCGAAAATCCTAACTCGAAAATCTTAACTCGAAAATCTTAACTCGAAAATCCTAACTTGAAAATGCTAATTCGAAAATCCAACTCGAAAATCTAACTCGAAATCCTAACTCGGTAAATAGGCAACCTCAATCAGACGCAAGTTTGTTTGACTTGGACGTAAATATTGGGCTCACTCGAGAAACTGCGTCAAATTTCAACTGTGTGCTTTGACAGAAATCAGCGTAACAACATCTTGACGTGACATTTGGTTTTACTCGGTAAATAAAGGATTGCGATAACAAGGCCAGTGTTTCAGGAAGTGATGGCTACGTCTCTTGTGTCCTTTTTTACCAAACTTCCGTCTGAGATTTATTACGAGATTATATAGATCGTGGAATTGACGAAAAAACTAAGAAAAGAAAGTATGAACGTCAAGGAAAAGTGGCGCCGGACTGTTGCTATTTTAATCAAGCTGGACCCGCGTTTCCCAAATAATTTCTCTCCCCGGCTTTTCGTCAGTTACAAGATGTATGCACAGGCAGGGATTACTTTCATGCCTTTGTGGATTCTGATGACCTCCGCCGATTTGGGCTTGCTTTGCTACATTGTCATTCCTGTCATAAACTCGACAAATCATTTGAGCATATCTACAAACATGATCATAGGAAATGAACCAAGAGGCAAGACATGTCTTAAAACAGAATCTGATTGAAAAGAGGAAGAGCTGCTGGCATTTTTTTTTGTGTGAAAAGCACAGTGGTACAGAGTGCGATACTTAAGGTTAGCTTGAAGCCATATTAATAGGAATCCATTGAACTTCGGATGTATTTGGGGGGCGGGGGAATGGGTAGATTCAGCACCTCAATACAATATTGTTTTTCTAAAGGATTTTAGATAGACAGTTGAAATTCGCGAGAGCTGTTACTCCGATGTCAGTCATGAACACCGAAAATCTGGTGGAGATTGATCGGTTTTATAGCCTCCCGCGCAGACGTTCTTAGGCATCGTCACGCAATCATTCATCCTCCACGAACGTCTACTTCAGCCCGTAGCCACTTCCGTTCAGGCGAACTGGCCAATCACAGGCCGTTTGCTATTTTTTGAAAAACGGGACTTGACCTCAAAACTCATTTCGCGGCTAGATATGGCGGACATCAGAGCGGTTTTCAACCTTGTGTCTCAGAAATTTTGTTTTCGGGAGTTAAATGTCCTTCAGAAAGAAGCAATAATCTAATTTCTAGATAAGCAGAGAGATGTTTTCATTAATCTGCCCACTGGAT